AAATTGAGTAAACACAATAAAGATAGGGCAAAACATGCAAAGGGTTTTTGAACTCTTGATGTTTGTATATTTTCCGCTAAGAGAAACATGCTTTTTACAAAATTACACAAAGTAGAAAGGAAAAAGGACCTTTTTAAAAAGTGTAACTAGTTTCAACATGTATGTATATGGCACAGACAATTTCATATGAAAGAATAGAAGCCATATGTAGAAGAAAATCTAGTGTTTAGGGCTAATTACGATCTTCATATTCCACTGTGAATTATTTGGTAATGATGAACAGTGAACCAGATCATGAGAAAGAGTCAGAATAACTGTTATGAGTTGTGGAATGTTCCTCTTTTGCAATATCCAGAGAAGGCAATGTGCTTTGCTGGTCTGAACTGCATTCCAGGATTTGTCCATGGTGGAAAATTTTGAAATACTCTTGAGTCAGCATCTAAACTTCAGGATTGAGCATTCAATATTCAGCCCTCAGGCATCTTCGGCTGGAAAAAGCAATGTAGTACTTCTAATTCTGGCAGCATGTATACTAAACTTAAAATATTTCCCTCCTACTTTATACAGCTGAGTTTGTCTATTTTTGAATTTTCTTACACTTTCCCCCTCATTCCGATGGGAAACAAGAATGCCACACACACACACAGTGAGCAAGAGTGAAAAAAGGAGTTAGTGCAGGATTTAAAAAAAATTCTAAGTAGGTAGCTATATCACATACATGGAACAAAGGGTAACATGCATGAAGGTCACTTCCCTTTCAGGAGCAGCATAAGCAGTTAACAAAGCACTATTTGTCCTATCACACCTATCAGGTCACAGCCATGTTAAAAAAGAAACAGAAGCTCATTCGTATAGAGGAACTCCTCAGGATTAATATTCTACTAATGGAGAAGTTGTTGTCCGGTGTCTATAGAGAAAAGTGAGACTCTGAAAAAATGATGTATTTTGCCATTAACACTATGGATCTCATCCTCATTGAGGCGGGAAGCAGGGAGAAATCATCTTATTGTAGCATTTTGTTCCGTTTTTAAGGAAAACAGATAATATGTTCATCCCATCACATGTAATGTACTTTTTTTCTGTTTCTGTTTCTCCAGTAATCCTCTGTATTCTGAGCTATCACGCCGATGGGTATAGTCCTCGCCAATTCTTCATTTGTCTTTTTAAAAATACATATATAAGGGAAACTTTGCAATTGCTAAAGTCATTATGTTATCATCCTCATTATTATAATTACATTTGTTAGATATTTGATATGTCTAATTTTAAAATTAAAGCCCAATTGCATACTTGTAAATTCTTCCAGTACTTTGTGAAAGACCATCGATGGTATTTTAAATTATTTGTAAGATAAAAGAGAAAATTCAACATTAACAAGCTATGTCAAAATTAGGAAATTCCAGGTCTTTAAAAAATGAGTAAATATAGCTACAGCAAACTGGTAATATCGTGAAATTGTGTAATATCTTGAAGAATAGAATTTTTTAAAAACACTGTACAAGTTTCATATAAGAGAGTTACTGGCAAGAAAAGAAGCATCTAGCTACACTTCGAAGCTGCCCACAATCATACTGTCTTTTACATCACTACAACACTTTAACAAGAGGGAATCTGACAGTTTCCATCCCACATGAAAATAAGTGCCTTTAGCTGTTTCTGCACAAATCAGGAGCTCTGAAGATTATTGCTTCCTGACTCCAAAACCTTAGTTTCTACACATTTTAAAGATGGAGTCCCATGGGCAACCGTCAGAAGTTGTTTTGCGTTGTATGATGGGTGCCATGGGATTCTGTCTCTTAAGTATTTTTAACGTGTATAAGCATTTAAGCTCTCTCCCATATGCTATATCAACAACTTAAAGTTGTTCTGCCAAAGATTGTTTTCCTTTTTTCTTGGTCTCCGCATTTGGGGAAAAAATTGAACTTTGCTCTATTTGTCTTGGCAGCTTTCCAAAAGCTCTTGCGCTGTCTTCCAGCATTTTTCATCAGTGGCTTGGACAGCCAAGACTTGCAGTTCAGCAACTTCAGAAGGGTTCACAATTCCTGTTCCTGCTCTAGGAGGTGAAGTAGTTTTGTTTGGTTATTCGGCATTTTGTTTAAAATATAGATGATTTCCAGACCTCAATGAAAATTTCATTGGTTATAAGCAGTAAAAAGCTCAGTGTCCAAGGAAATGTTTGTGTGTATAGATTGATATCTTTGCTACCTAAATCGCCAGGAAAAAGGTGGAATGAAAGTAAAATAAAATAAAATATAATACAATTAAATGTTCACTTTTGATTTAGCTTAATAGAAGAAAGTTCAGTTTTACCCTTCTCCAGATAGGGTCAAGCTATTAACAACAACAGAAAGAAAAAAAACCCTGAACCATGTCATGGGATAATTTCTCCCAATATATTGCACTGGCTGGGAAAAAAAAAATTGTTTTGTTAGCACATTTAATCTTCATACTATTTTTATTTCTAGAGAAATATAATGATGGCAAGTGGGTGAAACTGTGGAAAATTATTTACTAATTGTTCAGGTGACAATGTTGTAGATCTCTAGCTCCCGCTTCAGTGTTGAGTTTCCAGTTACCTGATTCCCTTTTTGAATATACTAGTAAGTAATGATCTGCACTCCACTCCTATTTTGAAATCAAACATGATTGTGTTTGATATTCTGGCAAGGGCTTACATCTACACTATTAATGCAGTTTGACACCACTTTAGCTGCCACAGCTCAATGCTGTATAATCGTAGAGGTTGTAGTTTGGCGTGTTACCAGCATTCTTTGGCAGAGAAAACTAAAATTATAAACCTACCATGAGTCCATAACAGTTGAAGTGATGTCGAACTGCATTAATTCTACAGTGTAGATACCCTAGGAGTGGTGAGAAACAGATGGAATGTCTCAGGGTTGATCCAGAGTATTGACGAGTCGTACTTCCAGCTCCCAGACTGCTAGACAGACATATTTCTTTTCTGGTGACTATCCATCCCACTGCTGCAACCTCCAGCCCCAGAATGCTTGGTTGCCTTCCTGTGACAACAGGCATGTCATCAGCCTAAGAGCTGAAGCAGTGGGGGAGAAGGGGTACAGGGGGATGTGATTTGGGTGAAGGTAGGTACCATTTTGGATGGATGGGGGAAGGTAGGTGCATCTTGTGTCCTTGGACTGCTTGAGCCTGGAAACAGGACATGACCAAGTATTATTTATTTATTATTTATTTAAAACTTCAATATCCTGATCTTCTCAACCTCTGTAGAGGGACTCAGACCGGCTGACAGCAAGGATTCAATGCTACAGTACAGTCTAAAACAACATATATTAACAGAAAAATTAAAATACATATAGAATAAAATACATATAAGCCAATTCGCCAACAGTAAAATCATGTCCAAACTCAGTCCACATGTGGTCAATAACTCTGTTCAGTTGTTGGGCTTGGTCATTATTCTGGGAAGGCCTCGTTCCATAGCCAGGATTTCACTAGCTTCCTGAAGGTCAAGAGGGAGGGGGCGGATCTAATCTCATTCGGGAGGGAGTTTCATAGTAAACAATTGTGGCTGGTTCTATGTTGGACTAGTTTACACTTCCATGAAGTCATGGTTTGTTCTGGAGTCTCAAGGAAAAAAACTTGGAGCAACTCACAACTTTTGTTAATGCAGTTTAAGGCTGCATTAACCTGTATCAACTTGGTGCACCATGGAGCTCATTTGCCCTTGCTTTGTGGTTAATTGTGTGGATGTAGCCCTGGTATTCTGCTATTCATGAACTAGATCACCATGTATAAGTTCAACTGTGTTTCATGAAGAATTTTCAAGAGAAAACATATGCTTATGAGGTGGCTGTATATTTGTAAAATCAGGGCTATGACCCCCCATTGTTGGATGGAAAAACACATAATTCCTGGCTCAAGTATTGTTTGAGAATTTCAGTCCATACAGATCCCCAGCCCTGTTCTACCACCTCATCATACAGGCATAAATTGGCCCCTTGCTTCTCTTTGGGGATGGGGCCTGCCGAATGGTATCACTTGACCCAGCCAATGACCCCTCCCCATTAATGGCCGAAGTGGCGAGGAAGCATTGCGAGATGCTTCCTCACCAACAACCAGAGGTAAGCTGTGTTTTGGGTAGCTCTGATGGAGCTACTCACATTTTCAGGCCATTCCCCCATCTGATGGGCGAAAGAGCAAAGTGGCAACATGCGTTACTACCGTTTCTCCTGCCTGGGGGAAGAAGGAGGGTGCACGGGTTGCCTCGAGGTGCCACATGCACCTTCCATTTACCTTCAGTTCACTGGCAAAACGAAACTGGGAGACCATTGGTATGATGAACTCAGCTTCTCTCTAGACCACATATTAGGTGTATTTTTTTTAACTCCTATCCAAACCTCCATGTTTTTGCTCATTATTTGGCAATTTGACAGAATCATGCAAGAATAATTTCTCTTGAATTGATATTATTCTGGATTTGAATGTCCTTGGAATAATCCTTGAAAAATGCACAGAATAGGTTATGTGCATTTGATTAAACTTTTCCTCTGACAATTGTCCTTAGGTAGGACCCCAAAATTTGACTATGCACTTTACTACCGTTTATCTAAAATTTAAGTTTGACCTTATTTATTGCTCTTATCCTCAACACAGCTACACGCCCTATGCACTTTATTCATTGCCCTATCCTTTGATCTGTTGGACAACAGGCCACCCACCCATGTAGAGACTGGACCATGCTATTGCTGTTGGTTTTGACATCTGTTTACATATTGTTTAATGTTGTTTATGTAGTTTTAAATTCTTGTTGATGCACTCTGATGTTCTATATTTTAACTCTGTTATCTGGGCTTGACCCCATGTAAGCAGCCCCAAGTCCCTTTGGGGAGATGGAGGCAGGGTATAAAAATAAAGTTGTTGTTGTTGTTGTTGTTGTTGTTGTTGTTGTTGTTAATTTGTTAGCTGTAGTGGACATCATCTATAAAACTGAATATTTGAATACCTTTCCATTCCTTTACCAGGGGACAATGATATCTGCCTTGTGGTGGGCTTGTTGGATCTCTTTGGCTTATTCTTCACTCAGCTTTTGTAAGTAAATTATTCTTATTCATTTTTAAGTTGTATTATCTGCATCACAAAATGAGTGTGACAATATACAGTAAGACCTTCACATATGCAGGGGATACATTCCCAGCTGGACCACAGTTACATGAAACCACCAATATGACTAAACACTTCTGATCCCAGCACACCATATAGTGTTGGAGGATTTAAATATTCCTAGAGAGGGATCTTCTCTAGGAATTTGCTAGGTTTTCCAGTACCACTGTATGGTACTATCTGGGGCAAGTATCACTTGGAGGACCTAGCAAATTTCTAGAGACCAGCCTCCACCTCCAGCACGGATAAGCGAAACTGTGGATGTGAGTTTGATGGTCATAGGGGTCTTATTGTTCCTTGAAAAAAAACCTTTTCTTGCATACAGACTGACCCTTGTGCCAATAGGACTGAAAACTGCCAGGTCATAGGTTCGAATCTGGGGAGAGTGCAGATGAGCTCCCTCTGTCAGCTCCAGCTCCCTATGTGGGGACATGAGAGAAGCCTCCTACAAAGATGGTAAAACATCAAAAAATCTGGGCATCCCCTGAGCAACGTCCTTACAGACAGCCAATTATCTCACAACAGAAGTGACATGCAGTTTCCCAAGTTGCTCCTGACACACACACAAAAAATGAAGTGTGTATTAAAAGGTAAAGTACGCAAAATAAGATCACCTCTTAAATTAACATCTGGAAGAGATGGTAAACAAATTATACCATATTTTCCTTCAGTCCTGTAATAGAAAGTTTCCTTTTATAAGAATGCAACCAAGTTAAATTTCCTGTCATTGACCAATCAAATATGTATATAAGTGCTGCAAGAAATGGTTTTTGGATGCATTTCATGGCTGTGAAACACCTGAGATCTGCTCAAGTAAAAATAATGGAAAGCAATACTCTGCTTTTAATATTATACAATTTCTATAGTAACCAGACTTTGAACACACTTCAACCAAAACCCACAAAACTGGTTTCCGAGGCTTTTAGTGCTTAGAATGGTCACTAGATGGTGCTATCTGTAAGATAAAAGATATAACACTTGCAAAGCAAGATATAACAGTATTTGTAACTTTAATATAAGCTGTAAACCCAGATAATGGTGTACACTGCAAACTCCTGGTTTGGAACTGGAGTTAGTAATGGAAGTATTTTCTTTAAAAATGGAGCTTCTTTTATTCATTTATTTATCCAGTTCATATTTTAGACACTTTAGCATACTCTGTTGCATTTTTTTTTTTTGCGAATGCTTGAAAGAACAGATGAATCCAAGTCCTCTCCGTCTTGGATTTCAGGTTGTTATTCCCAGGTTTTGAGTAAAAAGAGGCAGGGAGACTATGATAAGAATTTCTACTGCTGAGGAAGCATGTTAGGTATAAAAAGGGAGGATAGGAGGTAAGATACAAAGGAAGTACGGGTAGAGAAGAGGGCTCAGTTTTCTAAGCTGGAAAACTATATTTTTGCTTTCTATTCATCTAAGCCTTAAAAGTGACGGGTTAATACTACAGGTTGAGCATCCCTTATCCAGAATGTAAAAATCTGAAATATTTAAAAATCCAAAATTGCCCACACTTATTTTCTGATGGTTCAATGTACACATATTTTGTTTCATTCATAAAGTTATTACAAACATTGTTGGTTGGTCCTGGTGAAGGGGGCACAAACTAAGGGTAAGAGAAAGAGGGGGAAAACGGTATAATAATAATTATAAAGAAATATAATATGTATAAGTGGATAAAAGGTGTGTGATAGAGTTTTATGTAGTATAAGTTGTAATGGAAATTTAAAAATAATGATACGAAATATGATTAAAATGTTTTTGATGTTTTTTACTGTTAGATTGTATATAATATGACATACTCTTTTGTCTAAGATACTGTAAAAAGAGAGAAGAATGTATGCTTATACATTTTGTTGGACAAATTTATAAATAAAATCTAAAAAAATAAAAAACAAACATTGTATATAAAATTATCTTCAGGCTATGTGTATCAAGTGCATATTAATGTCTTCTTTAGACTTGAGTCCCATCTCCAAGATACCTCATTATTCAAGTATAGTCAAAATTCAACAACAACAACAATGAAAATCTGAAACCCTTTCTGGCCCCTAAAATTTTGGATCACTTGTACAATCTATACTAGCTAGAAAACTGAAAAATTTGAGCAATATTGCTAACTGAAAAATGCAAGAAAGAAAAATGGAATAGGTAGAGGTGAGCTAGAAGCAATATGAAATTATGTGGGGCTTTAAAACTGGTGGTTTTTAATACTATTATATCAGATAATGCAGTTGAGAGTCTACAATAATCTTGCATTACAACAAAGTCAATAATAGAAGCCAACTTAATTCTTTTTCAAAGGCCATACTTATACACACATTTTCTGGTAATGTTGTAATACACATATTTGAACTACATCGTTTGTTGCAGTGATATGAAAATATACATATTACATGAATTTTATTTATTTGTTAGGTGTAGCCTTTCCCACCTATGTTCCTGTAGGAGAGCCTTATGTTATTCGCTGTCCGATGAGGTCCTTGCCATCTAACTACAGTCTGACATGGTACATAAATGGTAGTGATATACCCATAACAACAAATAACTTCTCCAGGATCCATCAGCGTGGAGACTTGCTTTGGTTTGTCCCTACAATCCTAGAGGATACAGGACGCTATCAGTGTGTCATCAAGTAAGTTCATGAGAAGTTGATGATTTTGATTAAATATTACAATTTCTGCTGCCGAGGAAGCAAGTTTAGTATAAGAAGGGAGAATAGGAAACATAATGCAATTGAAAGTGCAGTTCAATAGCTTTAGCACAAGAATAATAACAGTTTTACAAGATGTTTAGCCTTCTCTGCCAAATAGTGCTGGAGTCTCACCAAACTTCAACTCCCTAAAGTAGTGTCAAACTGCATTAATTCTACAGTATAGTGTAGATGCACTCTGAATTACTGAATTCTGAACTTGTTTAGGGTAATTTCATTGCCAGAAGACAGAGAAGCAGCAGTTCATTTTTTTTTGTTAACCTGGATGAGTTCTTGCTGTGATGTCTGTAAAATGGCTTTGGAAGGTATACAAAGCTTGCATTTAACCCAGACGATGATGCAACTTAATGTTGAAATTCTAGACAAAAGATGCCCTTAAATCTGCTGTAAGCTTACCAACTTTGTGGACAAAACATCCTTGAGAGGTAAACTGTATTTTTTCCATTGGAAATTGTAGAGACTAAAAAAATCTAATCAATGGAATTTTTCAAGAATTTTCTAAGTCTGCCTGATGAAACTATCTGGTGAGATCAAAGGGTGAAAGTGAAATTATTTGTCAAAGACTGCTAAAAAGTCCTGAACAGTTCAGGCGCAACCTATTTGTCTGACCACATCTCCCGATATGAGCCTGCCGGAGCTCTGTGATCTGCTAGATAGGCCCTACTCTCAGTACCACCACCATCTCAAGTATGGCTGGTGGGAATGAGAGAGAGGGCCTTCTCAACAGTGGCTCTTCAGTTCTGGAATTCCCTCCCTAAGGACATCAGAATGACTCCTTCCTTGCTTTTCTTCAGAAAGCAAATTAAAATGGCAATGGATTCTGACTTTGGCAATGAGATGGAGCTGATTGTTAATATAGGTGTTTGTAATGCTGTTTTATCATGTACTGTTGTTTTATATGAGGTATTAAAATTTCTGTATGATTGATTTATATGTATTTTGAGATTGTATCATCCTAAGTTTGAATGGCATCAAATTATTGCTGAGTGTTAGCCACTCTGAGTCTCTCAATGAGAGAGAGAAGGCAGGGTATGAAACAAAGTAAATAATAAATCAATAATAATAATAATGCTATAAGAACCGTGGGAATTAAAATTGTTTAACATACCTAAGAACAATATAGTCATAACATTCTGTTACCACATGGAACCTCTGGACTGATTCCAAACAGGGAAATAAGACATGAAGTAAGACACGAAAACTATAGAGTTTGAAGAACGGAAAACAGGAATGCAACTAAAAGAACTGTAAACAACAAGTGAAAGTGACTAAAGAAGGCACTACAACAAATCTTCAAAATTTAGATGTCTGTTTTTAAAAGACAGCTTGACTGCAGAAATGACTGGAATGTCAACAAGACTAAGATTCAAATATCAGAAAAACCAGAAAGAAGCTCTCAGGAGATAGTCTCTTTCACCAAAAGAGAATCCAATGAAGAAAATATTGACCCAGCTAAGAAATATTACAGATGGAATGAAAAATGAGGAGTTGAGGATTGATAATACAATTACAGGCAGAGAACTATTTAGAAAAAGGTCAACAAGAGACAAAGAAAAATATGTAATAGATGGCAGACAATGAGTGGTAATTTGAGGCAGTAGAAATAGCAAAAACAAAATAAAAATAATTGAATGAAGGCCGTTTTTTTATCTACTTTTCCCTAGTGAGGAAAAGGTTAATTTTTTCACTCCGTAGCTGTGTTCTGAGACTGCCAATATGATATATTTTTTAAAAAATCCCATTGATACCAACATGGATATAGTGTGACGTTGGTTCTTAATTATTCTCTTATTTCTTTAAGAATAGATAGGGATAATCAAATGAGGAGCTATGAGGATGATCTAGGGTTGGAGCAGTGTTTAATTGTACTGGATCTTTTTCTAACTCCCAAACAAAGTGGTCTAGGGAGTGATTCCAAAGTTGGCCATGTTTTCATCAATGTTTCTAAACATTTGCTGTTGTGAATTCAACGGTATTTTGTATGTGTATGTCTGTATAGAATATATTGCAGTACTGCTATCTTGGTGTCATTACAGTAATGCAACAAAAAGGAACAAGGACATTGAAGTGGTCCAGAACGATGATGGTTTATGTTTTAATAGCAAAACAACTTACCCACAAAAAGTTGCATTGAGTAAAAATAGACCGTTGACTTGTCCTGATCTTGATGATTTTGAAGATGAAGACAGTTCACTTGTCTTACAATGGTACAAGGTAAGTGCGTAACTGAGTTGACTATAATCACTGTGTGAAACCGAGTCCCTCGAATGGAGGTGAGAAGACCGGTATACAAAACTACCAAATAAATAAATAAATACTTGTTTTCTCCGTAAAATGTTATTGACAAGTAAGGAAAAACATGTTGTTCAAACCACATATGCTTAATATGCGCTGTACTATCTATTTATTTAAAGCATTTATATTCCGCCCTTCTCACCCGAAGGGTACTCAGGGTGGAGCACAACTTATAAACATCAAACATTCATTCAATGCCGAAACATACTAGACTATACACATACAAAAACATTAAAATAATTTACCTTGACGTTAGATATGGCATTTCTTCAGAAAAATCACATTGGTCCTTTGTGGGTCAAAACAAAACAAAAAGGGGAAAAGAAACTTTGGAATGGGGGTGGGGGAGGCAGGGTGCAATGGTAGAGACCAAAATGGGTATCTCAGAAAAGAGGGAAAATCACAAGGAAGAGGGAAGAGATTAAATTGCCGCCTCCTCTCCTCCCTTCCTTCTCTGACCATCCTGTTATCCTGGCTAACATAATGGAGGCAACAGTCAACTGGCAGGACCCACATCCACTGGAGACTGCCACAACACTGAAAACTGGAGGGGACCGTAAGGTTCATTCTGTGTCCTGGGCTGCCTGAGTCTGGGAAACACAGAATGACAGTGTGGCTAGTTCTGCTTAGAACTGGCTTAACAGTTTACATGGGCCCAAAGTTGTAGACCAGAATCTGGAGTATCCAACAACTTTAATTAACATAGATCAAGACCAAGTTAAGGTGACCTTGTGCCATGTTGCCCTGGAGCAGCTCCATGTGTAGTTTAACTGCTACAGAACTGATTTGGGAGTCCTTGTAGTAAATAGATGTGCCCTAGATCCCACTAATAGGTCAGGATTACATTTGACCCTTCATATCTATGTATCCTTTATCCATGGATTTAATAATCTGCATCTTGAAACTATTTATTTATTTACTTATTTATTTATAGACTTGTATACCGCTAATATCTCAGCCTAAGTCGGCGACTCATTGCGGTTTACAACAATTAAAAAACATAAAACACATATACAATACAAATTATTGGGCCACCAATAATAATCCCATGCATCTCGTAACTAAAATCACAATCCAAAATTCGTCGTCCATGATTACCAGTCCTTTAGTCATCAACATTCGGTTGCAACGTATTAGCCAAATGCTTGTTTGAACAACCATGTTTTCAATCTCTTCCGAAACACCATCAGCGAGGAGGCTGATCGTACCTCTAAAGGGAGGGTGTTCCAAAGCTGAGGAGACACCACAGAAAAGGCCCTGTCTCTCGTTCCCGCCAGCCGCACTTGTGAAGCCGGCAGGATAGAGAGCAGGGACTCTCCAGAAGATCTTAGGGTCCTGGTGGGTTGATAGGCTGAGATACGTTCGGATAGATAAGTTGGGCCAGAACCATTTAGGGCTTTTAATATGAAACTATTCATATCCCCCCCCCCAAAAAAACCAAAAAAACTCCAAAATGCCATTTTTCTATGCAATTTAACTATAACCTGAGCATCCACTGATTTTGGTATTCACAGGAGTCCTCAAATCAATCCTGAAGGGATACCAAAGGCCTACTGTGTGTTGATCCATTTTTCTTTTAAATTCTGCAACTCATTTGGGACTTTATAAAGTAACCATCGTGATTGCAGTTTTTACAGTATTTGTTTATATTTCAGGCATGTAGTCCTAGATTACTTAAAGGTGACCGATACTGGGCTTCTGGAAAAAGTTTAATTATTACCAATGTAACTAAAAATGATGAAGGAACATATATATGCCGGGCAAACTATACTTATATGGGAAAACAATATTATGTTTCACGGGCCATTCATTTAACCACCTATGGTATGTGTATACATTTTTATCTTGTTTTTTACTTTGGCACGTTTTGATTTTTTATATTTTATATTGTATGTTTTTAAATGTAAAGATTAAAATATTTATTTATAAAATATTTAGAATCCATAATTTGGTTTGTTTTTAAAATAACCCAATCCTGTCTGATGTTTCTGCATCAGACTTGTTTGAATAGTTTCTTGATCTGCATGAGGCTGTTCATATATACTCTTCATGAAATTACACCGCCTTTCAGAACAGGTGTATTTAATCCGAGATCAAGTAGCACTGGACTTATGCCCAGATACTTTTTTCAAGTGCTTCCGGAGGCCGTGAGTAGCACAAAAGCTTATTTAGGCATTTCACAGCAAAGCACAAGTTTACTTGTATACAAGAGGTGCCAGATTGTGTTTTTGTTTATTTTTGTGCTACAATAAAAATATTTTAGCCACTATAGGAATTGAAAGAAATATTTGAATACATAAAGGAAAAACTTGAGAAGGGCATTTTTTGAGTCTGATAAATCCAATGAGAAAAGCCACTTTCTCAGTTGCTCCTGTCTAGTACTCAAATAGACTCGCTTGGATGGTATGTGAGAAGCTGGTGCAGGACAGCCAGGAAAGGCTGCCTGTCTTCTCATGTCATGCAGGGTGGGCAAGGTGAAAAGTAGCCAAAGATCAACAAAATGTAGACGAAGTCTACAAATCACCATAGATGCAAAATCTGGCTTTCACAGTACATTACTTGATATCTTAGATTGTACTACAGAGTGTAGCTTGTCTGATGATATAACTAATTTATTATTAACACAACTAACAAAATAATTTTTCTTAGAAATGCATGTTTACAATAATTTTACTGTTGTACGTTTTTAACCTGGTGTTGAGCATCAGAGGTTAAATATTCCTTTTAGAGTCTTTCATTGATTAAATGTATGAAAACTTTGCTTAATTGTTACATACCGTATATACATGAGTATAAGCCGACCTGAATATAAGCCAAGGCATCTAATTTTACCACAAAATCTGGGAAAACTTACTGACTTGAGTATAAGCTGAAGGTGGGAAATGCAGCAGCTACAGGTAAATTTCAAAACTAAAAATAGATACATTATTATTAATTTATTATTAAAATTACATTAATTGAGGCATCAGTAGGTTAAATGTTTTTGAATATTTATCATATTTCAAAGTAAAACAGTAAACTAGCTATGTAACTGGAAAAGGAGGGTCAACAAAAACAATATGGTATCAACAATAACTTTATATCTTCTTGAATATTCCCCCTCTTTCCATGTATATATGTTTTAAACTGTTTAATAAAAATCTATTCAAAAAAACAAAAAAACAATAACTTTATAATAATGGGGACTCAAGGTGACTTCCAACATTCAGTGCCTATATAAACAAAAAAATAAAAAAAAGGCAATAGTAAACATTGTGCAATAAGTTAAAATAAACAGTTGCATTAAATAATTATCATTAAAAGCAATTAAAAAAACATCTGTGGAAAGTGTCGTATCAGTTCCCTTTTGCCTTTTCTCAGGCTTCTCCTATTGATGCAGCCTAGAATGGCATTGGCCTTTTCAGCTGCAGCATCACACTGTTGGCTCATGTTCAGCCCCTGGTCGACTAAGACTCCTTTCTTAGAATCGTAGAGGGCCTCTAAAGACCATCTAGCTCAAACGTTTTCATTCTGCCTTCATGCAGGGAAAGCACGATTGAAACATCCTCAACAGATGGCCATTTAGCAATAATAATAATAATAATAATAATAACACCTTCGTTCTGCAGGGAAAGCACAGACAAAACACCACTGAAAGATGGTCATCATCCAGCCTTCTTCTTCTTCTTCTTCTTCTTCTTCTTCTTCTTCTTCTTATTATTATTATTATTATTATTATTATCAATAGTAATAGAAGTGGAAGGGAGCTCTAAAGGCCATTTAGTCCAACCCTCTTCATTTTTGCTTCATACTAGGAAAGCACAGTCAAAGCACCCCTGGCAGATGGCCATCCAGCCTTAATGTTAATAATAATAATAATAATAATAATAATAATAATAAGAAGAAGAAGAAGAAGAAGAAGAAGAAGAAGAAGAAGAAGAAGTTGGAAGGGAGCTCTAAAGGCCATCACTCTGCAGGGAAAGCACAATCAAAGTACCCCAAGATAGCCATCCAGTTTTAATATTAATATGAATAAAAATAATAATAGATTTGAAAGGAAGCTCTAAAGGCTATCTAGTCCAACCCTCTTCATGCAGCAAAAGCACAATCAAAGTACGGCACCTCCTGGTCCCAGAAGTCAGTCAGTCAGGCAGGCAGCGAGGCTGAGTGGAACTGGCTACGGAGGCCTACACTGTGGAGGCCAGTGCAGGTCTCCGCAGCCAGCACAGGCCTCCGCAGGCCTCCGCAGCCATGGAAGTCAGGCAGGCAGGCTGCTGCAAGCGGAGGTCCTCTTTCGCTGCATTGTCTGCATTCTCTGCTCACTGCATACGCCAGCAAGGCCTCCGCAGGAGCGAGCGGAGGACGCAGCCGATGCAGCGGAGAAGGACCTCCATTCACAACAACCTGCCTGCTTGATTTTTGGGGCTGCGGAGGCCTGCGGAAGCTTGCGCTGGCTGCAGAGACCTGTGCTGACCTCCGCAGCCAGTGCAGGCCTCCGTAGCCAGCTGTACTCAGAGCCTCACTTTTGGTGAAGCCACTTCCAACCGAATTAAGTGGCTGGTGAGCACATTTGCCGCTGCCGCTTACAAGGAGGCTCCCTCTGGCCTTATGATGCCTCCTTCCTTCCTGGATCCAGCTGGGGCCGACAGAGAGTCTGTCCCACGCTGTGCCACTCCTGGAGGCTGAGGCCGGAGGCGGCCTCACTGGAAGTAGCAGTGGCGGCAGGAACGCTCACCAGCTAGTTCACTTGGCTGAAGGTAAATGGAGGCCTGAGATGGCGTTGCTGGAAGTGACAGCGGGTGTATTCGCCAGCCGCTTTACTGGCCCGAGGCTGAAGATTGAGGGGCAAGGCTCGCCTGTGGACTCCGCTACCATTCATCCACCTCCTCCAACCTACTTGATGGAGGTGAAGGCCAGCCAGCTTCGGAGCCTCACCTCCATGCTCCACTGTCCGGCTTGACTGAAATATAAACCGAGGAGGACTTTTTCAGTCCAAAAAAAGAAATGAAAAACTCGGCTTATATTCAAGTATATACGGTAAATATTACAATGTTATTCAGTCCCAAAATTGGAAATACTTTCTTCTTAAATTGTCATTAAATGCTCTCAGTGATTAGTATACTTTGATGATGAAGCTAATTTTCTAATTCTCATGGACTATTCTGTGAATATGTGATATGAATCCATATCAGGAAAGCAATGTTTAGGAATCAATTGTCAACAGCAATAAAAAATTTCAGTTTAAGAACTTAAAATTACAGCACTGTAAGAGGTGATCCAAAGATGGTTTGTTTTTTGTTTATACTTCTTTTATTAGATCCACCACCAGTGGGACCAATAGAGATCCTATATCCCACAAATAATTCAATTGAAGTAGAACTTGGTAAGCAACTTCCTGAATTGAATAAAAACATGTTTTTTTAGTGTTTCAATAAACAAACTCTAAATTTTTTCTGTACACTGATTTGCAGCCATTCTTTCTTGTGTGTAGGATCCAGCATTGCCATCAATTGTACTGCCTCAAGAGGATTAAGCCAAGATGTATTTATAGAGTGGAATTTCAGCGGTGAACAACCCGAGGATTATTTGAGCACATATGAAAAATATAAGTAAGTATAAAGTCGAATTTCAATTAGTTGTTGGATTAGGACATTTTGTGGTTACTTTGTGAATGCACACATTACAATAATTGTAGAGCCCAGTAATGTCCGACTGTGGAAAGTTCTCATTGAAGCAGAGTACTATAAATAGTCTGATTTAGCAGTAGTAAAACATAAGTGTATTTCTCCGCACTTCTTCATTTAATTCTAAAATATTCTACTTAATTTGAAAAATCAGGACTAATGGGATTCCAGACAATCATAGATTGTTCTGATGGTTTTAGTACAAAGCACGTCTCCCTTAGTTTAATTACAATTGTTCTATAAACAAAATTATTCAAGTAATACTGTGTGGTCAAATATCTGTTGTCTTTGTGAGACTCTTCCATCCCTTCTGTCAAATTACGTTTCTTGTTGTTGAAACAAATAATTATTTTTCTTCAAAGAACCACCAGAGATGGTGTCATGGATCTATGAGCACTCTGTAACCCACCCTGCTAGACACAAATGGCTTTGACAAGCTGGAGGCTCGCCAGACCCTCCCCTGTCCCATTGGCATAAGCTCTAGCCTTGAACATGGTGGGTTTGGGATGAAGAGTTCCTACTGATAAGAACTAGGCAAAGGAAGGATACAGGATATAAAATATGGACCATGATGTGAAATTTCCTGATTGTCCTTTAACCAATTGATCCTGACAATGATTGAGTGATGCCCCAAAAGGGTGGCACAGCACTGCTCGGGGGCCCTCCGTTTTGGAGACATTACTGAACATTCACATTCTTGTAGAATTTATTCATGAGTGCTAATATCTGACAATGTTATGTCATATGCTAATAGCACAGCTATCCGGGTGTCTATCAAAAATTAAGTGTCCCATATTAAGTGCATTTTATATCGCAGGCTTGGAACTAAGGAACAAGGTTGGTTTTAAGTCAATGCTCATGTGGGCACTTTTCATCACCCAAACATAGCTTGTAGATATCTCTTACAAACTTCCTTATCTTCCCCCTTGAGCTTGTTTGTTTCAATTGGACAATTTGGATTAGATCCATGTTATTTGTTGGATTTTAGATTAGAAATTCTCATGGGCCTGCTTGAAATCAGCCAGAGATCTATCAGTTGGCCTTAGTTTGCCTTTCGTCCCCTGGTCTAATGTGCAGAACAGAGAGTATCCCATGTATGGAGAATGACTTTCCCAAGTGTTAGTCTGAGGCATGCATCATTCTGTTGTGTATGTTACAGTACAGTGGAGCTGTTGTTATAGGGATATGTCTTCAATCACATAGATGTTTTACCATTTAGTGCAGACCCACGTCTTTGCCAGATGTTTTGTCTGTGACTTGAAGAGTTGATGGATGACACATGCAGTGTTTTAGATATAATTTTGAACCTTAGGAAAACAACTCTCCTTTTTTCCTGAATGAATTTTAAGGCTACTGCATAGTGTAGGAGCAAGGTGATTCATTATATTTTTCACACTGAAGGATCTTAATGAGAGACACCAGCACAGTTCAATAAAAAAGGAGAGGAAATCTTGAAATATAGGCAATATCTTCTTAACATCGACTGCTATTCTGTATCACAGTTATTGATTCATAACCTAGATTTAACTCTGTATTCAGTAACACTACATAGTTACAATCATAGCACTATAATCACAATTGTAAATGTATCCCAACAAGCCTTTCTTTCTAGTCAGCAGCCACATTGACCAATTATGTTCTGTTCAGTTTCAATTCAGGCCTCAAGGAGGATGTCATTTCCACTCCCCTCCCACCAGCAAGTGAAGCTGCAACAATCGGAAGCAGAACTCCAATTCAATTCCTCATCCCAGTATTGTAGCCCTCGGTGGCACAGTGGGTTAAACCCTTGTGACGGCAGGACTGAAGACCGACAGGTCGGAGGTTCAAATCCAGGGAGAGCAGGTTGAGCTCCCTTTGTCAGCTCCAGCTCCCCATGCAGGGACATGAGAGAAGCCTCCCATAAGGATGGCAAACATCAAAACATCTGGGTGTCCTCTGGGCAACATCCTTGCAGACAGCCAATTCTCTCACACCAGAAGCAACTTGCAGTTTCTCAAGTTGCTCCTGACATGAAAAAAATTCACAGTCTCACTTGCTGGTAAGAGAGCGCTGGAAACATCCTCCGCTTTGCAGCTTGTTAACCAGGTGAACAGACCTCCCTTTGACTGATATGTCTCTTGGCTCTTAAGGTTGAGGGAAGGGGCAGGAGATTGGGCCAAGAGATGCTAGTTAGGCATCCATAACTAAATACTCTGATGCAGGGCCGTAGCCAGAAAAATATTTCGGGGAGGGTTGACAATTTCGGCGGGGGAGAGGGGGTAAAAATTTCAGGGGGGGGGGGGTGAACCCCTAAAACCACCCCCTTGCTACAGGCCTGCTCTGATGCAGGAAATTGGTGAAATGTTCCCATTTTTAAATTACTTTATCTTTGTTCTTTTCTAGACTATGGATTTATGTGGGTGTATGGATATTCATACATATGAAAATGGGGGTAATTACTTACTTAATGTAGAAACCTGAGATAAAAATGACTATTTTTGTCCATAATAAAATATTTTAATGTTGTTTATCTTTTCATGAAACACTGTGACTTAATTTTCATTTTTTCCATTTTGTTCCTTTATGATAACAGGACAAAACTGCCTGAAAAATGGATATCGGTCGTAAGGTTTAATATATCAAAAATGAAGTCTAACAACTATGGAAGATATTCCTGTGTTGCAGAGTCTTTTGGTACAGACCAACGAGTAGCATATGTCATGCTACATCGGCCGGGTATGTTATTCACAAAGAGATCCAATGATTAAGGGTCTTTTCCCACTGTGCAGTTAACACACTCCCGTATTTACCTCAGTTTTCAAAACCTTGCCAAATGTAATGTGCAGCAGCCAAAAGAGCCCCCTTTGTCACATGACCCAAAAAGCTGCATATTGCAGTTGCCTCCATCTTTGGATTCCTTTAAAAACATGTGTTATGACACCAAAGCTTTCAGCAATGGAGAAGAAGACCTCGGGGTGCATCTGTGCTGCAGAATGAATCCAGTTTAACTGCCTTGGTTTAATGCAATGGAGTCATGGGTGATGTATTTTGCCAAGATCTTGTGTCTTCTCTGTCAAAGAATGCCGGATCCTCACCAAACTACAAATCTCAGGGTGGGCAGAGCATTGAGCCATGGCCATTAAATTAGAGATGTGATCTTTCAAATAGGAGCTCCAGAGGCCCCTGAAGCAGCTTCATCTTTTCTTTGACTCAGCATGAAGATTACTGTATGATGTGAATCTAATTCACACCTTAATTTTAGTGAGGTCATTTACCCAAAATGGTGAGCTTTAGATTCAAGTAAACAGGGCATGTTTCACTCTAACTGCAATGGAAGTTTAGGGAGGAGCATATAAAATTTTAATTCCTCACCAAATTATAAACCTCACAATTCCATAGGATGGGACATGGCATTTATTGAAATCATAAAGCCCACAAATGTTTTGTAAACATTCATGACAGGCATATTTTAAAAGTAAGGACTAGAAATTTGTATTGATTGGGCTCAGAGGAGGCAAATTGTCAAGATGGCAAGTTCAAACTAGTGAAAAGATTTTTTTTGCAACTTCCAACTCCCAGAATCTTCTGATCAGGATGATCAGTGGCCAATTTTTTCAAATTTTGGGCAAGATACTTCATGAAACAGCTAGTTTCCTGGTCTAAATATTTATAACTTTGGGAACTACCTGCAAACAAAAACACTGTTAAGAGAAATCTACCTGTAAAGACTTAACTGTTGTGTTTTTAGACACCTAGTGAGAACTGACTTTGGGCCAGATGTGACTTCCTCTGACTATCTCTCAGGACATAAAAGCAAAATTTCTTGGGCTTCACCTCTCAGCGATCATCACTGGAAGGCAATCATGAGGGCACTCCCTCCCAAACCTCATAGTTTTTCAAGAGTGAGAACCCTCATTCCAGCCCTAAGGGTAGCCCCTTATTGTATGCCCCCATCCTCCAAAACTTATAGTAACTGTTATGGGAGTCAACCCTTCACCTCCTAAAGAGGGGTGCCACGGTGCCTACTGGGACTATTTCACCTCTTCAATGCCACTAAAAGGGACAGGTGTCTGCCTAGCTCCTTTCCCCCACCAGGCTGGCTAACAAGGACTTCATGAACAGATAGCACATTCACATCCTCTAAGAGGTATACTCAGGGGCGGCTCATCCATTACGCGAAGTAAGCGGTCGCAGAACACTTTTGTTGCCAGGGGCGCAGAGGCCCGATGAGGACTCAGAGTGGCTTCCATGAGGCCAAGCCCAGACAACAAATTACACCAGTGTAAAACCGAAAACTCAAACCGAAAATGCCAGGGGTGCTTTGAATGCAATTTTCCTGCTTCTTGGTGGGGGGTTGGACTGGATGCAGGGGCGGCTCGTCCATTACGCGAAGTAAGCGGTCGCAGAACACTTTTTTTGCCAGGGGAGCAGAGGCGCCTCTGTAAATGCCCCTCGACCGCCACTTGAGGAGCGCCCCCTCAGCTCACAACAGCCCTAGCAGTTCGGGGGGAGCCTCGGCTTTCTTGCCTCGCTGCCGGGCGATCCTCTTCCCAAAGGGGCCGGGCCCTTGAGCCTCGCCTAGCCCCTCTCGTTCCTGCTCCACCCGGCCACCGGGTGCACGAGCAGAGCCGGCGCTCAATCGTTCTCCGCGTTCGATCCCTTCCCCATGACCGGCTCCCTTTCCTGATCCCCCGGCACTCCACCCGCCTCCTCTCCTCTCCCCAATCCGAGGGTGGTCCAAGGGGCGGAGCCGCCACATCTGGCCCGCTTTGGGTCCGGAGGCGTGTCTGAAGACCCCAGCGTGCGCACCAAACGTCGCCTCTTCTCCTGACTTTCTCTTCAGCCATTGGGACCAAGAGAGAGAGAGAGAGAGAGAGAGCCCCTCCGGCTGGAGGTATCTCCCACCTCCGCTCCCTCCTTTGTTTTTGCGCCTACCTTCAGGAAAGGTGGGCATCTCCACCTCTCTCTCTCTCTCTCTATCTTGGTCCCAATGGCTGAGGAGAAAGTCAGGAGAAGAGGTGACTTTTGGTGCACATGCCGGGGTCTTCAGGCACGGCTCCGGACCCAAAGCGGGCCAGGCAAGGGAGCAAGTGCGGCAAGTGTAGTTACTGGGATGTATAGTTCACCTACAATCAAAGAGCATTCTGAACTCCACCAATGATGGAATTGAACCAAATATGGCACACAGAACTCCCACGACAAACAGAAAATATATATCAATGATTGGATGGGGGGGGGGCCAAAATACTGTTTGCTTACCGTTGAAAATTACCTAGGGCCGCCTCTGGGTATACTCCATCAGCCCTATACAACTCACCAATCCCCCAGTTTGCCTCATGACAAATTTCTGCTCCTGATTGACTACCTGTTGGGCCAAATTGAGCTTTTGGGGATTACAATCCCTCACTACCTGAAATATGGTAATAGTGTTGACCAGGCAATCCATATTCCAAGATTTGATGCATGATGTAACTGAAATCCTCAGGGCTTGCAAAATCAGTGCTTTTCCTTTAATGGGCCCAGATCATTGCCACCAAGGTGAGGTATTGCTGAATAGCAAGCCATGGACAGGGCAAGAGAATGGGGTTTGTTTAACAGCAAAAATATAGTAATTGGTTCATCTTGAATACGAGACAACTAATATCAGCTACTGGCCTTCCACTCAACTCCTGACCAGGGCTGAATCTGCTTAGTCTCCCAGAAGTGGTTTGATCTGCTGCCTTTCTGATGGTTAGGCCACATGAGCAGAAACAAACAGAACTTGGAGAATCCCTGCAAAGCAATAGAAAAGGGTGGCCCTGTGCAAGCAGATAAAATGACATCCCCCAGAGAGTGCCCAGGTTGAGGCCTAGCTTGAGGATAAAACAGCTCCAACATGTACCCTAGGCAAGAAGGGAAGCAGATCAATGAAGACTGGTAATTTAATGAGTGTGTGTTCATCTGCACCTTGCCTTAAAGCTGAGACAGTGTGACTACTTCTCTTCCAAGAAAAGTCCAGCTCTTGTGTGTTTCAGGTGGTTAGGCTCTGAGCAGGCAGAACCTGGACAGCCATCACAAGAACATGAAAAAATGCTGGTCCCTGCAGTAGCTAATCAAATGACCTCACAGAAAAGACCCAACATGAAGGAAAAACACAGCCCTGAAGGCCTTGGCCAGGATTACGTTTTGTTTTGCTTCACAAGGATTACCGCTACCCCTTTGAGGCTGAGAGAATGTGACTCAAGGTCACGAGAGTGTGGATTGCTGAAGATACTTTATTAATAACTTATTTAAGGGTGATTTCTGGCATTTTCTGAAGTTGAGAGACTATGGCCCAAGTCAAGAAAGTGTGACTCCAGGCAGAGAGACTGTGACATTTAAGATAGTTTGTTAAATTATTATAAAAAGGGGATTTTCTGCTCCTTCTTCTGCAGCTTAGTGTGTGATGAGGTTCAACTCAACAATTAATCTAATATTTATTTTTTTAATAAAGGTGGGCTGTCTTTGACATTCCTCTACATTTACTTGAGACAACCCAGCTAGCCCTGAGTCTGAGAGGGGACAAACATTTTACCAGTGTGGCCACTGCACCCTTTAGCCCTTATGCCCTGCTGAGAAATGTATGCAACCAAGGGAAGTAACAGGCAAAATTGTGGGGTAAATGAAACCCCACTATCCACATGAATTAAAAAGTAGAGAGACCAAGGGGAGCAAGAATAGTGCTTGGCCTCTTTCACACTGTGTGTAGGCCACCTTCTTCCCACAAATGCATGTGACCATGCATAATCTTAAGCACCTCATTACTGGAAGGATACTTCTTGGACATCAGGACAGTAATGATGGCTGCCTCAAGATTCACAACACAAACAACAGAGAACCATCGCAGGTGTGGATTGGCTTTCAATAGCCTGCTGTTCCACCCTTGACAAGTGATGAGGGGCCGGTGAAGCCAGCCAGCTCCAACCAAGTCTGGCCTCTTTCATGGGGGCCTTCAAGTGCTCTAAGGCTTTGCCTGCTATCTGTGGGTGGGGTTTATGAGAGCATCCAGCCTGTTTCCAGTTCAGAGCACCATTTCAGCACTTAGGCTGGATCTTCACTGCCCTATATCCCAGGATCTGATCCCAGATAATCTGTTTGTCCCAGATTATCTGATGGTGTAGACTCAAATAATCCAATTCAAATCAGATAATCTGGGGTCAGATCCTGGGATATAGTGCAGTATAGATCCAGCCTGGTGGAACCCCTGGTGATGCAGTGGATTAAACCACTGAGCTGCTGAACTTGCTGACTTAAAGGTTGGCAGTTCAAATCTGGGGAGCGGGGTTAGCTCCCACTGTTAGCCACAGCTTCTGCCAACCTAGCAGTTCTAAAACATGCAAACGTGAGTAGTTCAATAGGTACTGCACCTAGGAGGTGTCTATGAACAACGCCAGCTCTTCGGCTTAGAAATGGAGATGAGTTTTAGGAATTACAGCAGTTATCTGAGCCTGAACGCAGCTTTGACTTTTATTTCAGCCATATTGTTGTATGATGATGTTTTGTAACTGTGCTATGTTTTTATTTCATTGATTTTAACGTGTTTCTGTTGACTAGACTTATTGTCAAGGGGAAACCTTTACCTTGGATTCAGCTTTAGTTGCTGCAGAGATACAGTGTTGAATGTCACCAGCAAATACCCATAAAACATTTACTTTATATCCTTATAGGTTTCTTATCTGTGCTGAACAGCAAAGAGATTAAAATGAAACCTTGAAGGATGTCATGGTAATGATACTAAATGACAAAGAAATTATCACTTGTATCAAAACCAGGAAGAGAAACAAGAATCTCTACTTTCTTGACTCAAGCCTTTTTGGAATGAGATTTAGAAATCTGGCTGTAGAGCTCACTTGGAAGAAGGAGTCTCTCTTTTCTTGTGGAAGACTTTAATACCTCCTATTCTGTAATTTCCCTTTGCAGTTTAGAGGATGAATTATATCTCCTATTGAATTTGTATCCACTAGAGTATCTAGTTATTTAGAAGTTTTGTTGTATGTGCCTTCAAGTCAAGTGTGACTTAACAGGGCCTATCATAGGGTTTTCTTTGCAATATTATTCCAAGAAAGTTATAATAATAACAACTTTATTTTTATACCCTGCCACCATCTCTTCAAGGGGACTCTGAGTGGCTTATAAAGGGACAAGCCCAAAGTTACAGATAAAAAACAGAAACACGTTAAAATCAATGAAATAAAAACATAACACAGTTACAAAACATCATCATACAACAATATGGCTGAAATAAAAGTCAAAGCTGCGTTCAGGCTCAGATAACTGCTGTAATTCCTAAAAGGAGACATGGTTTCCCATTGCATTCTTCTAGGGCTGAAAGAATAGGACTTTCAGCAAAAGATTTAATCTGAATGTTGCACTAATCATTTGATTGATTGAAAGTAAGATTGTATTCAACTGATTGAGGTAAGATTGTATTCCATTCTTGTTTTTCCCTTTGCCAATGCAGCTCCGAACTTTCAAGGTTATTTGATTGGAGGACTCATTTCAGCACTATTTGTTATGTTGGCAGCTCTGCTCACCTGCAAGTTTTTCAAAGTGGACATTGTTCTCTGGTATCGTGAATCTTACCAGACTGTTTTCCAGGAAAGAGGTAAGGCTGGTTCTGGATGCCCTCTACTGGTCAAAGGGGAAAAGTGTAGGTCCTTGCTTCTAACATTCAAAAGAGAAAACTGTTAATGACTTAATTCATGGAGGTCTTACAACTTCTGCCAATAGTGATTGGGATCGTTTTCCTATTTTTAATTTGACAGACAGGAGACTCCTTATGGAACTGGATTTGTTATGCTTAATAAATAGATTTTTAAAGATAAAAACTATATTAAAATATTTAATCATAAACATGAGAGACCTGGTAATAAGATGAATACTACTACAAATTGAGGAGTGGAACGATAAGAACGTTGCAATTGATAGTTTGACAACGGGCCGGGTTAATGATATGCTATATAACAGTGCAATACTAGAGTGTCATGATGTAGAGAAAGGGGGTGGTGGGGACGGGGAGAGTTCCGGTCCTTGGGGGGCCCCCATAGAGGTTATGATGGGGAGGGGGAGATACGGGAAAGGGAGAGATAAAAAACCAATTCGGCCAATTCGTGAACAAACGCTGAGGAAAATTCCAAAATGTTCTCCTGACTAGGTAAACGTGGGTTCCAAGGTAGACGGTCCTCCTGGATTGAAGGTGGTGCTGTTGAACGCCAGATCTGTCAATGGGAAAACATCAATCATCCAGGATTTGATACTGGAGGAAAAGGCAGATCTGGCGTGCATCACGGAGACCTGGTTGGACGAGGCTGGAGGGGTGAATCTCACCCAGCTTTGCCCACCAGGTTATGCTGTGCAGCACCAATCGAGACCCGGGGGGCGGGGAGGCGGAGTTGCAATAGTCTATAAAGATTCCATCTCCTTGATCAGAGGCCCAGCCTTACAGTCGACCTTGTTTGAATGTGTCTACCTGAGGCTAGGAGACCGGGACAGAATCGGGCTGTTGTTGGTGTACCGACCACCCCGCTGCACCTCAACCGTCCTACCTGAGCTTGCAGAGTTGGTCTCAGGCTTGGCATTGGAGTCCCAGCGGCTTGTAGTGCTGGGGGACTTCAATGTACATGCAGAGTCCACTCTTTCAGGAGCGGCTCAGGACTTCATGGCCACCATGGCAACTATGGGGCTGTCCCAACTAGTATCTGGCCCTACCCACTGTGCTGGACACACACTTGACCTGGTCTTCTGTCAGGGCTGGGAAGAAGGTGGCGGTGTGGAGGAGCTGTCAATCTCTCCTTTGCCGTGGACCAACCACCATCTGATCAGGTTTAGACTCGTTGCAACTTCTAACCTCCGCAGGGGTGGTGGACCCATTAAGATGGTCCACCCCAGGAGGCTTATGGATCCAGAAGGACTCCTGATGGCTCTTGGGGATGTTTCCGCTGCCTTGGATGGTGATTCTGTCGATGCCCTGGTCGCTCACTGGAATAGGGAGCTGACTGGGGCAATAGAGACGATTGCTCCGGAGCGCCCTCTCTTAAGTCGCCGAGCGAAACCTGCCCCTTGGTTCAACGAGGAGTTGGTGGAGCTAAAGTGAACAAAGAGATGGCTAGAGAGCGTGTGGAGGAAAAAGCCCAGCGAGCCAAACCGAACACGTCTACGCCTTTATCTAAGGGCGTATGGCGCGGCAATAGAGGCCGCGCAAAATGCTTTCTACTCGGCCAATATTGCGTCCGCAAGGAACCGTCCGGCAGAGCTGTTCCGAGTAGTCAGAGGGTTGTTGAATCCCACCTCGAGTGGGTCCCCTGACGACTCGGCAGCGCGCTGTGAAGCATTTGCTCAGTTCTTTGCGGACAAAGTCGCTTTGATCTGCGCGGGCTTTGACACCACATTAACTGCAGTCTCTGAGGATGTAACTCAAGCATCTGCTTGTCCAATTTTGTTGGATTCGTTTCAGTCTGTTCAACTCGATGAGGTCATCAGGGTTCTGGGAGAGGCGAGACCTACCACATGCATCCTAGACCCCTGCCCTTCCTGGCTGGTAAAAGAAGCCAGAGGGGGTTTGGCAGAGTGGGTAAAGGTGGTGGTTAATGCCTCCCTTCGGGAAGGCAAGATTCCAGCCAGCTTAAAACAAGCTGTCATCAAACCGCTGTTGAAAAAACCATCACTAGACCCCACTCAATTCGTCAACTTTCGGCCAGTCTCCAATCTCCCCTACTTGGGCAAAGTCCTGGAACGTGTGGTGGCCTCGCAACTCCAGGAATTCCTGGTGGACACAGACTATCTAGATCCATCACAGTCTGGCTTTAGGCCGGGACATGGTACTGAGACAGCCTTGGTCGCCTTAGTTGATGATCTGCGCCGGGAACTGGACAGGGGGAGTGTGTCCCTGTTGGTTCTGCTGGACCTCTCTTCGGCCTTCGATACCGTCGACCACGGTATCCTTCTGGGACGCCTTGCGGGAATGGGTCTTGGGGGTACTGCCTTGCAGTGGCTCCGGTCCTTTCTCGAGGGTCGCTCCCAGAAGGTGTCACTAGGGGACTCCTGCTCGACTCCTCGGCCATTGCACTGTGGAGTCCCGCAGGGCTCAATACTGTCCCCTATGTTGTTTAACATATACATGAAGCCGTTGGGAGAGATCATCCGGAGTTTTGGGGTGCGATGTCATCTGTACGCAGATGATGTCCAACTCTATCACTCTTTTCCACCTGCCACTAAGGAGGCTGTTCAGGTCATGAACCGGTGCTTGGCCGCTGTCTCGGACTGGATGAGGGACAACAGATTGAAACTAAATCCAGACAAGACAGAGGTACTCCTGGTCAGTCGTAAGACCGAACAGGGTACGGGGTTACAGCCTGTGCTGGACGGGGTCACACTCCCCCTGAAAGCTCAGGTACGCAGTCTGGGAGTTCTCCTGGATTCATTGCTGAGCCTGGAACCCCAGGTCTCAGCGGTGGTCAGGGGAGCATTCGCACAATTAAAACTTGTGCGCCAGCTGCGTCCGTACCTTGGGAGGGCTGACTTGGCCACGGTTGTACACGCTTTGGTTACATCCCGCTTAGACTACTGCAATGCTCTCTACGTGGGGTTGCCTTTGAAGACTGCCCGGAAGCTGCAGCAAGTCCAACGCGCGGCAGCCAGATTACTAACGGGGGCTGGGTACAGGGAGCACACCACTCCGCTGTTACGCCAGCTCCACTGGCTGCCAATTAGCTTCCGAGCACAATTCAAAGTGCTGGTGTTGACCTATAAAGCCCTAAACGACTCCGGCCCTGTTTACCTCTCCGAACGTATTCTCCCCTACGAACCATCAAGATTATTAAGATCATCTGGAGAGGCCCTGCTCTCGGTCCCACTGGCCTCGCAAGCGCGCCTGGTGGGGACGAGGGACAGGACCTTCTCAGTGGTGGCCCCTCGACTGTCCCACCAGCCTCACAAGCGCGGCTGGTGGGGACGAGGGACAGGGCCTTCTCGGTGGTGGCCCCACGACTCTGGAACTCTCTCCCTCTGGAGGCCAGAACCGTCCCATCCATCCTAACATTTAGGAAACGGGTGAAGACGTGGCTGTGGAGTCAGGCCTTCGATGAATGAGACAACACCATAGGACCCTGGATGGAAGTTGATGTAGATCCATCTTAATAGGACGACTGACCACTGTAGTTTTATATATAGTGTTTTTAAAGTTGTTTTTGTAATTGTGATATATGATATTTTAATGAGTGTATATGTTTTTTATGGCTGGAAACCGGGCTGAGTCCCTCAATGAGGTTGAGAAGCTCGGTATAGAAAACTGTGAAATAAATAAATAAATAAAATAAAATTTTGAGTCAGTGTTAACCCATGTAACAGTTCTGCTGCCTTTCATGTTCAGTCATCCCTTGATGCTACAGTCAAGAGGAGGTAATGCATATATGAATTAGTCTTGACTCTCTAACACAGGGATCCTCAAACTAAGGCCCGGGGGCCAGATACGGCCCTCCAAGGTCATTTACCCGGCCCTCGTTCAGGGTCAACCTAAGTCTGAAATGAATTGAAAGCACACAACAACAACAACAACAACAATCCTATTTCATCAGCCAAAAGCAGGCCCACACTTCCCATTGAAATACTAATAAGTTTATATTTGTTCTTCATTTTAATTATTGTATTGTTTTAAAGTGTTTTTTGCACTACAAATAAGATATGTGCAGCGTGCATAGCAATTCATTCATGTTTTTTTCAAATTATAATCCGGCCCTCCAACAGTTTGAGGGACAGTGACTTGGCCCTCTGTTTAAAAAGTTTGAAGACCCCTGCTCTAACAGGAGGAATTACATTTCTTATTTTGGAAGAAAAAGGTTGATTAACAAGAGATACTAAAACTCAGTGTTCTACTTTCTAGTTTCAGATGGGAAGCTCTATGATGCATATGTATTGTATCCCCGAAGTTTAACAAACTGTGCATATTCATCAGATATCTTTGTCCTGAAAACACTGCCTGAAGTCTTAGAAAAACAGTGCGGCTATAAGCTTTTTATATTTGGAAGAGATGATTTGCCAGGGCAAGGTATGTAATTTAATGAGCATCTGGTTGCCAATCTCAGCACCAGTTGCAGCTTCTGAACTATCTCCATGATACTATCTCCAGTTCCAAACATGGAGATAGTTTGGAATCTGCAACTGGAGACATAACAACATAATTTCTCAAACATCATAATGATTAATGAGATTATACTAATTTTAAAAAGTAAAAGTTTTGCATGTGACTCAGTGATTTATATGCAAGATTTATTCCCTAATGTCTCCAAGTAGGACTTGGAAATATATGTATTTGAAATTGAACTATGCTGAGTTGGAGTCAGAATGTCCCAAGTTGGTATAAGAAAGCTTCACATATGCAAATGTGTTTGCTTAATTGTCAAAGAAGACCCTTGATCCTTATTCTCCCCAAAGTTTAGACAAGAGTCCATGCCACTGTGAATTCTGGAAGTTTGGCCCAAAGAGCAATTTCTTCCTCCTTACACTTAAAAGCAACGAATTTGCCTTTGTATTGTCGAAGGCTTTCATGGCCGGAATGACTGGGTTGTTGTAGGTTTTTCATGCTGTATGGCCATATTCTAGAACATGGCCATACAGCCTGAAAAACCTACAACAACCCAGAATTTCCTTCGACATTCATTTGGGATCTTCTTGGCTTACCAATGCAACATGAAACACCTGAAGGACACTAGGTTCTGGAGGTCCACTAAGCAATAATCTTAGTACTAGACTTACTTTATTGCCTGTACTTACACCACATTCTTGTGCCTGTTTTGTTGCTTTCTTGTCCCCACAGCTGTGGTTACAGTTGTTGATGAAACTATAAAACAAAGCAGAAGAGTGATTATTGTGTTAGTTCCTGGTTCATCACCTTACAGCATTCAGGAAGCGTCCACTGAGCATGAGATTGCAGTGTATGGTGCTCTTATTCGAGATGGAATTAAAGTAATACTGATTGAACTAGCAAAAATAAAAGACTACAGCAACATGGCAGAATCTATCAAATATCTTAAAAAGAAACATGGAGTGCTCACATGGCAAGGAGACTTCTCAGCCAAATCCCAAATGGCAACAACAAGGTTTTGGAAAAATGTGAGATACCAAATGCCAACGAACAAAATTTCTCCTTCCTTAGATCTTCATTTCTGGCCTGTGATCAACTCTTCTCAGATCTCAGAGGGATGATACCAAGGACACTTGTGTTCTGCAGTACAATGGATTCTGTGAGGATCCTTCATGTGCGAACATATTCCTGCCCTCCTATCAGCAGGTGTTGAAGAGTGAACACTGAACAGTATAATTTGCATGGTTTGCACAGACTGTGAGGAGTCAGTGGATCAGTGAGCTCCCTGGATAAATGGGAAAATGATGTGAACACTTGAACAGAAAGAGACCTCACATTATTTTATATAGTTCTTGTTTACAGACAGAAGTGACTATATAGGAAATGGAATGTCATTAGGTTTTTAAATCTGAAATACCAGGTTTCAAATGAACCAGTTGATAGCTGCTTTATTTGCTTGTTTACTTTTTAAATGTGTCATTTTACAGAATCCTGGAAGGGGCAAGAATTGCTGAACAAGCTTTTCAAAGGGATCTCTGTGTTCAGATCATCACCTTGTGAAGTAACTAGTACTTTTACTTCAGAGAGAGCCTTTAATCTAATAAGATAAAGGCAAAGGTTTCCCCCTGAAATTAAGTCCAGTCGTGCCTGACTCAGGGTGCTCATCTCCATTTCTAAGCCGAAGAGCCAGTTTTGTCTGTAGACACCTCCAAGGTCATGTGGCCAGCATAAATGCTTGGAGCACTGTTAATCTGATAAGGAAAGGGGTAATCTTGGTCCTTTCTGCACCAAGCTGCTTGGGATCAACAATACACCTTTTTTTCCAGCTGCAACATTTCACAAACCTTCCATTTAAGTTCTGAACAGGTTCTGCCCACATCACTCATACAAGTTCCTGTGGTTTTGGGCAGCTGAGACACATGTATTCCAACAAAGTCCCCCCCCCCCCTTTGGCCATATCCTATTAAAGCCACAATTAAGAAGAATCCTTCATTCCTCCAAAAGTTTGCTCTAAACAACACTACAACTGGTCAATAATGACCCTAGCTCCTGTATTTCCAAGCCAGCATAATACAAGGAAAAAATATTTTTTAAAAATGTGTACAAACCCACTATCTGGCTGCCTTTTACCGCACACTGAATCTTGCAATGATGGTGGTACATAAGCAACAAAAGAGGACTTTCTTCAGAATATCCAACTCAGGAGCATCTTTTTACTCACCAGCCTCTAGTCTAGGTATTCTTTTTTTTTAATGCTCAGTTCACCCTTTCTTGCCTCTCTATCTGAGTAAAGTGCCAAATACATCCACTATTATGCTGGAGTTATGATGAGATTTCGAATGCTATGCGTATTCCTTCTGTATCTCCCAAGGAGAAAAATTGAAACAGGAAGTTTAAATAGATGGTCTTACCAGAAAGCAAATGCAAAACAAAAAAACAGGTTCTTTGATTTGATTCACATTTTATTAAATGACAATGCTGACAAAAACACTGACTTACTGGATGAAATGGTTTAGTAGTAATAATTTCTCTCTTTTTTGGACTGTAAATTTAATTTTTGCACAAGGTCCAATCTGCGAAACCTTTCCTGATTTATACACACTTTGACTGTATATTTATTGTTACTTGCTATCACTTTAGCCCCAGCTTTGGCAAACGTATGGCTTTAATTCTTTTCTGAGGCTATGATCTGCAGAGTAGACACCCAGATATGAGTCTTCAAACTATGCCCAAATACGTGAAAGTCTAGAAGGTCTAGAAAAGGGCTTCCCAACATTTGGTCCTCCAGGTGTTTTGGACATCAACTCATACAATTCCCAACAGCTGGTAAGATAGCTGAGATCTCTGGGAGTTGAAGTCCAAAACAACTGGAGGACCAAAGGTTGAGAAGCACTGGTATAGAAAATAACACTTTGGTAAGGAATTGTTTCTATGACAGAAATAATATTTGTATAGTTATGTAACAATTCTTGGAACTTGTGAAATACATCTATGCCACAAAATTTTTCATATTTGCCTTCATTATGACATGTAGAGTGTATTGTAACATCCATACCTGAATCATTCTTTAGAGGGAACACGTGATACCACTGCTGAACCAGCTGCACTATGTTTGGTTTATTTCTGAGGCTTCGAGAGCACAAGACCAGGATACTTGAAGGACTTTGCACCCACACAATCCTGCCTCTGTCTCCGACCCCACAGATTGTCAGGAGGTACGGTTGACTAGAATCTGGGAAAACCTGTTTGCCATGGTGCCAAAGGTGTGGACATCCTTACCTTGGGAGTAGGCTCCCTCCCAAGTGAGTTTCAGACACCAAACAAACACGTTTGTTTAGGTGTAGTTATAGCTTGAGTTGCTCTGAAATTGATGTTCCATGGCTTTTGCTGTGTTCTCTAGCCTTTATGCTTCTGCTTGTATACTGTTAAAAGTTTTCTTTAAGAGGAAATTATTACATGGGTTTTAATCTTTTGTAGTGATAACCTCTTTTGAGAGTCTCATCTTTGAGATGGAAATTAGGGAAATAAAGTTCTTAATCAGACTTGTTGCCAAGGACTCTGCATAGCTCTAATTTTGCAAGATTCAGCCACACCTCATGGGAATACTTTGAAAGCAGGAACAAGGATGTTCTAGATTTGTTGTGACTGAAGTAACCATTGCATGCTGAGTTAAATTTATTTAGGAATTTTAGTTCTAATTTATCACAGGAAATTAAAATGTGTGCAATTGGGATGACAAACAAACTTCTCTGTTGTCTGTCTCTAACACCTTCTCCTTCCAATTTGAATGCTACATCGAAGTCTTAACAGGTCTTGGCTGAATTGGGTAGGATCAGGTGTGAGGGAGAAAGAGGGAATTGCCAGTATTCCAGTAGATATGAAATGTGTATTTACTCAAGTTTTGCAACTCCCTCCTTTCCTTCTGCCTACTAAAGTAAATATTTACTAATTTCACTCTTGAAGGAACCAACAAATACTTCAAATAGTTCTCTTGCTGCAAGAAAGTATGTAAAAAGTATGCAGTTTTCAGAATATTGCAGTTCAGAGTGTAGTTTATAGAATTTTTTGCATGTGTTAAGTGTGTTGTTTTTGCAAAGAAATTTGTTTCCTGCTCGGGAAATTCTCTATACTGAACTGTTTCATATGCAGAAAATGATGTGTAGAAACAGTGTTTAATACACACAGAAACAGACAGGAATTTAATGCAGAATAAGTCCCCAATTGTGAAGATGGCTATCAATCCAGGATTCTCACCAGGGTTTCCGCAGTACTCAAGCACATTTCCAACCCATTTAAAAATATTTTTGAATATCATTTGAATATATACCCTATCTTGTTTACTTGAAAACCTGAATTACATGAAGAGGCGGTAATATCTACTTTCACCATGCTGACTGCATTAACATAAATATGGATCCAGTCTAATCTCCTTTATAAATCTATGGTACAGCTGTTTTTAGAATACTATGTACACTCTGAACCATGAGAAAAGCACAGAAAACTCCAGCTAAACAAATCTGGATTTTACAACTGAGGATCAGTTAAAGGCTGATATCTTGCATCTGGAGAAATGTGTGTGTGTGTGTGTGTGTGTGTGTGTATGTATATATCTTCGAAGATATGCCTCCTAATGCCATTGTTTCTGTGTTCTTGGAATGCAAGGGAATGATTGAGGGTGCTACAATAGGCATCTGCAGAAATCTCTGGGATCCTTGTAATATTTCTGCAAATGATGGCCTTGCATCTAATAGAAAAATAGCGAGAGACGTCATCACTCATCAACACAGTAATGGTCATACTGGGGTATGAGCTGTATTGTTTACAAGGTGCATTTGGGGGATATTGGTCATAGAAATGAGGTACAATTGCATCAAACCCAATCAATGTCATCAACTTACTAACCAGATACACAGTGCTGGCTTTGCATCTATAGGAATTAGACAAGTAGGATTGGTGTGGATATGGGAGGTGCTTACTCCTCTTCTAAAACTTTCTACAATTTAGCAATATCTATTTACATTAACTGGCATGAGGAAGAACAAAAAAAAGCTATTCATGCAATGCTGACTTGGAATTCACCTCCAAAGGTAGTTGTAATAAGACTACACATTAGGTCACATAGCTTTCAAATGAGAGACACAAGGCTGGGAAATAGTCCTTTTAGTTAAGCTGGCTAAACCAAATGTACAGAATTTGGGCCTATGTAGAACCTGGTACTTGGAATCAATAGCAAAATTGTTAAAAGCAAAATGCAATATGTCTTAGTAATCTAGAGATATATTTTGATTGAAATGTTAGAGCTAGCTCCATAGCTAAAAGAGAACATTTTTTGGTGACTAAGAAAGAAAAAGTCCTATCATACCTAGGTCAGAGGTTGGCAAAGTGGGTCCTGAAGCTCTGTATGCCTCCCTAGCTGGGTTTGAAGTCTTCAAACCTCATAAGATTTCATGCTAGTTTTCTTTGTGGAAAAATGTGGTGAACTATGGTTCATTCTACAAAGCTGTCTATATCCAGGTTATCTGCTTTGAACTGGATTATATGGCAGTCTAGAGTCATATAATCCAGTTCAAAGCAGATAATGATAATTATTGGCCTTGATATTCTGGATTATATGGCAGCGTAGAAGGGCCCTATGTCTCTCAGATTCCTCCAGGAGCGCTTTTGAATTGTTCATGACCATCACCCACATCATTTAAGATTTTCTTAGGAAAGGTGAAAGCATATCAAGTAACCCCAGTTATCTCTATGACAAGGTGGCCATTCCACCATATTTGACGCATGTGAATCTCAGTGAAGACAGAGTTGTTCTCCTCACACATGTCCTGTAGATTTCCTAGAAGCCACTCAGTGCATGATGTTAAAAATACATCACTAGATCCAGCAAAGAGAATGGCTTATTTGAGGCTCAGAACGTGAAGTGCAAATGTGCTGTAGCTGTGCTCAATATTACCTACACTCACCAGAGAGTTACTTTTCTCAAATATTAGAGATAAAGAAACAACAGAATGATGTCTCCTGCATCTCTTCAGTTTTGCTAGTGAACTTGAATTTTGGGCAGCTCCAGCATAACTATATACATTCTTTTATCTGAAATGTTGCCTAAGAAACATGGTTTTGCCTTTCACACACAGTGTGACATGTTTGAGGTATGTGGATATGTGTACAGGAGCCTTTGCAGGTATTTCCTTCTACTGCTATTTGATCCAATATGATGTGTGAGGAACTTTGTTCAGACATAGATAAAATCATTATCTATAGGTTTCATCTTGTAGAGGTAGAACTCCTTGTCTAAGGTTAAAGTATACATAATATGTTGGGGAAACGGTGCTGCACTTGTAAAACCGCTTGAAAAGCTGTTGGGGATTGAGTTGTCATAGTTACAAATTCCTCACAACCTGCTTTGTTTTAGCACCTGTAGGGTAATAGGGTATTAATTCACCCACCTGAATTGGGATTAATTTGAGATTCAGTTTTTCAATACTGCCATATCTCCACTGGCAGTCTATGGTGCAAGTGCCATGTATCCATTGACAGTCTGCAAGAGGTCCCTTTGGGGATGAGTGCCCCCTTCCCCAGTTCTCTCAAAGACCTCCTGCGAACTTTATGATGTAGATACTGTCAAATCTTTAAGAAAAGCAAAGATTAAACTACATGTTAAGCTTGAAATGGGAACTGGTAGGGTTCAAGACACACTTCCTATCCAACACACCGTTTTCTATTCCTTGAGATTTTCAAGAATGGGAATTCACATTGTTGTGTGTGAGAGAGATTGAGGGTCACAAATAAGCCCAGGGCAAACTAAAAGTTTGTGGCCCTATGAAGAAAATTTATTAGGATTTGTTATAGATTAGGCATCACCCTTCCGTTGTAGAATAGGTCCAAGGGGCTCTGCTAGCATAGCTGTATACTTCTGCTACTAAATATATCTGCTGAAATGTAAAGCAAAAAGCATGGAGGAACTGGAGAAAGGAACACATTCCCTGTCCTGGATCTCCCTGAACAACAGGGAGAGGGATTATGTTCAGTAATACAGCAGAGTCTAGGGACCAAGGTCAGAAGTTCATTCATTGTCTTGACAAGAAGTAATGACGATATCATCTCCTACCCTTTCTCTGTCACTTGGTGCTGTAGCAAACCAACACTCCTCCTAAGATGGCCATGACTTCTGCCATCCACACCCCCAAAGTTCCTTAAAGGTATCTTTCCAAATACTACTACGCAAAGTAGTAACAACAAAATATATGCACAGCAAATTTGATACTTGGATGGATGGGTAGGCAGGATGAAACTTCAAGACAAGTTGAAGCTGATGCGCTGGGAGGATGCTTTTGCTTTATATGTCACAGCGCTGGATCCGAGGGAAAGATCCCTGCATTTCCTTCCTCTGAAACACTGCCTACAGTTACATTGTTTGGTAATTCCTGCCCTCACAGAACCTGCACAAAAGTGTGCAGCTTTTGGGAAGAACACCCTCCGTGCCCTGCAATAACAGTGCCACTCTCCAAACTGTCACCCAGTTAGTTGGGGAACATATCTTTTGCTGAGACTTTGAGGGAATTCTGGGCATAACACAGAGTGGAGGACAGAAGGGAGGGTTTCCATTAGATCCTACATTGGGACCCTACATTTTCGTCGCCTAGCCAGGAGATTGCTCCTGAGCAGGAGATGGTCCCCATGTCAGTGAGTAGTGGATGTATTCGCAAGTTGAAATATGAATTCAAGATAAGATCAAAGACTTGAGGCTGCATCTCCACGTACAAACCAGCACAAGCATTGTGGTCTGTGGAGGAGGCCCTGCTCTCGGTCACATTCCCCGTCTCAAGCGAGGTTGGAGGGAACAAGGGGGGGGGGGGCTTCCCCAAGGCTGCTCCCCACCTCTGGAACTCCCTCCCTAAAGAACAAAAAATGCCCTCCTCTCTCCTCCTTTAAAAGTGCAATCTAGTTTATAGGGAGGAGAATTAGCATATCTTACACATATCCCTGCCTTGATATTGGATACTTACCCAAGCCTGCTGATGTCATATATTAATGTATGTTGTTTGAACTGGTTTGACTCCTTGCGTTTATTATGTTTATTTAGCTTAACTCTCGGTTTTGGCTGTTTTGTAAGTTCTATTGAGTTTAATTCATTTCATGTGTTGTCTTGATTGTTGCTTGTCTGTTTTGGGCATTGCCATTTTTGTTATCTTTTGGAAACTGCCCGAGTCCCTTAGGGGAGAGAGGACGGATTATAAATAAAGTGTTGTTGTTGTTGTTGTTGTTGTTGTTGTTGTTGTTGTTGTTAGAAAAGAGGCCAGCACCTCGGATAACATCTGTAAAGTCTGAACCCAAACCCAGAGAGATTTCACTGCCAGGTGATGTAGAAGCCCTAGGGTTGCTGATTTCAGCTTTTCAGCTTGTTCGCTCTGCTGAATGACAAGAAGCAATCCAATCCTGCTTGTGAGTGTAGAGTTCCCTCCTACAAAATTCCATGCCTGCTACAAATATGTTGGTGTCTCAGAGATTCATTTTAAAGGTGTGTTCAGAGAGCTGATCTCCCTTCTCACTGTGGATAGAGCAAGTCTCAGCAGAGGAGCAGAGGTTTCATTTGTGCCTCCTTTTTTTTTTTATAAAGGTGGTATATAATTGTTCTGAACGTGCCTTAACATCTCTCTCTCTTCTGTGTTACTTTGAGATGCCTTCCAGATCTGGTTAAACCCGTTTCAAAGAAGAGGAGAAAACCTTTGCCATACATTGCTCTGTAGTTTTCCACTTGTCTGTTTAATCAGTTGGTGTTCTCGTAGCTGTCTCAGGTTGGATGGGGAGTTTAGTATTTATCAGACATTTTGTACAATCAGAGCTACCAACTTTACAGAATTTAGTCTTTTTATTGCCACTGTCAGTATCAGTTATGTGTGTTTCATCACACCAAAAGTGGATTCAATAGATAAGACCTATGCAAAACCAAAATGGGGTAACAGTTTAATTTTCTTCCCTCCTTGGAGCTTTAAACAGGAATAAGCAAACTGTTTTTAATTTTAAGCATTGAAAATATGGATTGGTCTTTTATATTTCTATTTGAGAAGTATTGCTTTTGAAGAAGTGCCTTTCAACCTTGCTCTGTTTTCATTAAAGATTGCTCTTCAGTGGACAGGTCAACTTTGTCTTGGAACTTACTTGAACTTTCTTGAAGCGGCCAGGTTTGTGACATTTTAATTATATTTTAAAAGCTCAACAATAACTAACTGACACTTGCATGAGAGATATTTATAAGATAAGCAACACGTGTTTCATGTTATGCAGCTACATGATTCCTATTGGGCTATACTCCAGCATGGGTGGGAGTCATGTAGCCTTTCAAATGTTGTTGAATACAGGCTTCCAGCATTCTATCATTAGTGACCGGATAGGACAACCTCTGAAAAGATGCATGATCCCTCCCCTTCTACCCGTTATATAGCAAACTTAATGAGTATTGGAGTTAAGGTATTGGCATGTTACTGATTGAGAATTCTACATTGCCTCCATTGTTCTCCTTTGTGAACAGTGGAAAGTTTTATGTCATATTTCATCATAACTGGGAGTGAGAAAATCAAATATTTGGGACTGATCTCATAGTTCCTGTTGTGCAAATCTCCTGCCCCACGCCAAAAAACTATCCAGGGTGTTTATTTAATTTTGATAACTTCTCTCTTTGGAGAAAAAATCCAGATAACTTGAATGAGGCATAAAGATGAAATGTGTTAGTAATACTGAGTTTTGTTCTCTTTCTGTATGTGTAGTAAAGCATGAAGCCTACATTAGAGATTTCCTGTGCTGTTATTCTGCCATTCCTCTCTGTTCTCTATTCAGGTAGGTAATGAATGATTGGTAACAAGTTTAGTAGAGAATTTGCCATGTAGTTGTAGAAAGAGAGTATTAAACAACAGTGAAAAATAGTTAGCTGTTTCCTGTATAAAGTGACTTAGATTGCTGAAGGAAAATACATAGTTTTAAAATGTACATATCAAAACAACAACACAACTATGAAATGCATGCTAGGAAAATTGTAGGATTAAATGTTGGTCTGGCCGCTGGGTTTTAGGCTCTATAATTCTATATACGTAGAATCTGTGCCTAATCATCTGGTCAAGAATCTGACTGCTATAAACCATATGTTTAATTAATAACACCTGATATGTTTTCAGTCCTTAAAGTCTCAGCATAAGTGAAATAGAATAATATCAGGTTGCTGTGAGTTTTCCGGGTTGTATGACCATATTCCAGAAGCATTCTCTCCTGACGTTTTGCCCACATCGATGGGAGGCATCCTCAGAAGTTGTGAGATCTCACAACCTATGATGATGCCTGCCATAGATGTGGGCAAAACGTCAAGAGAGAATGCTTCTGAAACATGGCCATACAACTTGGAAAAACCACAGCAACCCATTGATTCCAGCCATCAAAGCCTTTGACAACACAATGAAAAATATTTTTCTTCAGAAGTCATACTAGCTTTTTCATTCCATTCACCAACCCATTTGCCAAATATTTGTGTTATTGGCCATATGACAAATTGACTCTTGTAGCTCATCATTAACACAATTGCTAAACATTAAATCCTAATTGCTAACATGGATATTCAGAAGCATTTTGCCAAAAATTATTTCATCAGTATTACCCCCCCCCCCCTACTTTGTAAGCTTTGGGATCAAGTCAGATGAATACAGCTGAGATAATAATGTATGGCGACAACAAGGTCACTCTGTTTTAGTTAACCTTTGACTTGTAATTGCTGGACTTTTGCCCTATTATTTTGCTACATTAAACTTTTGTAGCATGAATAGCAAAGGAGTCATTATGACAAGCAAAACAATTTCTGAATGTCTATGTGAACCATCTTGCTTTTTCTATTGCTTGACAATAAGTGTTTACTTGCTGTTTTAAGAGTCAAGTTTGAAGGGCCCATAGATTTTCTGGCAATGTTGTCTTAAACAACAAACAGTAGTTTTAGAAAAAGTTAACATTACTTTCACTAAAAGTGGTTCTTCCTAGTACAAAATCTTCAACTCTATTTGGAAACCCTTGAGAATGCAGAGCCAAGAGTAGCTGTTTCCATGGGAAAATAAGCAGTTTTGGTGCTGATCTGTGTAAGTCAAATTCTTCTGGGTTAAGCTTGTTTAAAACAGATTTTCAAAAGGCAATGTTGTTGTTCATTCGTTCAGTCATCTCCGACTCTTCGTGACCTCATGGACCAGCCCACGCCAGAGTTCCCTGTCAGCCGTCACCACCCCCAGCTCCTTCAAGGTCAGTCCAGTCACTTCAAAAGGCAATAGTACACCATGAAATCAATACTGCATGTCATTCTTAAAGTGTATTGTACTCTCCACAGATACTTTAAATCATGCTGGTGCTCACAAGCTCAAAATCAAGAGATTTCCTTTATTAGAAAGGAAATGCTGTCTCATTCTTTTGTTTAAAGATATTTCAAAAGTGTTAATGAAATTCTGAAGATAATAAGCAAACCTTATTTGTGTAGTCTTAAATTCAAAATTAATTAAATATATACATAGGCAAGGATAGCAATGTTGACCATTTCAAAAGGCAAAATCCAAACTCCATATTCTGTTAAAGTCTTTATTAGACCAACCAAACGAGCAAAAAATATCTGTGTGAGCTTGTGAACCATTTGCTCGCTTCCTAGCAAATGTGTTTTGGAGAAGGATACACTACTTGATCAAGTTTAGACTTACTGCACCCCATAACCTCCGCAGAGGTAGAGGACCCATTAAGATGGTGTGCCCCAGGAGGCTTATGGATCCAGAAGGATTCCTGATGGCTCTTGGGGATTTTCCCGCCACCTTGGCAGGTGATTCTGTTGATGCTCTAGTCTCGCTCTATAATGGGGAGTTGGCTGGGGCAATAGACACGATCACTCCGGAGCATCCCCTCACAATGCAAAGAGGTAAACCAGCTTCCTGGTTTTCCAGGGAGGTGGCAGTGATGAAACGCAAGACGAGAGGTCTAGAGTACATGTGGTCAGGGTTGCAGAGCGAGTCAAACAAAAAACAGGCCGTTACCCAAATAAGAGCATACTCAAAGGCAATAGAAGCTGCAAAACATTCCTACATTGAAATCAAGATAGCAGCTGTGAGAAATCAACCAGCTGAATTATTTCATATGTCAGAGGTTTGTTAAACACCCCCTCACAGAATGAGATCTCAGACCTCTCAGTAACTCAATGTGAGATCTTTGCCCAGTTTTTCTCAGATAAAGTTGCTTTAATTAGCTCCAACCTTGACACCATGGTTTCTGCAGTCTCTGAGGATGTATTGATAGCATCTACTTGTTCAGTTTTAATGGATTCATTTCAATTTGTGCAACCCGAGGATGTGGACAAGATCCTTGGAGAGGCAAGGGCAACCACATGCATCCTAGACCCCTGCCCTTCCTGGCTAAGAAAGGGAGCCAGAAGGGGTTTGGTTGAGTGGGTAAAGGTGGTGGTGAATGCCTCCCTTCGGAGAGGCAAAATTCCAGCGAGCTTAAAACAAGCTGTGATCAAACTGCTGTTGAAAAAACCATCACTGGACCCCACTAATTTGAATAACTTTCGATCAGTGTTCAATCTCCCCTACTTGGGCAAAGTTGTGGAACGTGTGGTTGCTTCACAGCTCCAGGGATTCTTGGAAGACATGGATTATCTAGATTCGGCACAGTCTGGCTTCAGACCAGGTCATGGAACTGAGACAGCCTTGGTCTCCTTAGTGGATGATCCCCGCAGAGAGCTTGACAGGGGGAGCGTGTCCCTGTTGGTTCTCCTGGACCTTTCAGCGGCCTTTGATACCATAGACCAGGTGTCCTCAAACTAAGGTCTGGGGGCCGAATGGGGCCCTCCAAGGTCATTTACCCGGCCCTCCCTCAGGGTCAACCTAAGTCTGAAATGACTTGAAAGCACACAACAACAACAACAACAACCACAATCCTATCTTATCAGCCAAAAGCAGGCCCACACGTCCCATTGAAGTACAAATAAGTTTATATTTGTTTAAATTGTTCTTCATTTTAATTATTGTATTGTTTTTAAGTTCTTTTTGTACTACAAATAAGATATGTGTAGTGTGCATAGGAATTCATTCATGTTTTTTTCACATTATAATCTGGCCCATTACTGAGCCTGGAACCCCAGGTGTCAGCAGTGACCAGGGGGGCGTTTGCACAACTAAGATTTGTGCACCAACTGTGCATGTACCTTGGGAAGTCTGACTTGGCCATGGTAGTTCACGCTCTTGTTACATCCCGTCTAGACTACTGCAATGCGCTCTACATGGGGTTGCCTTCAAAGACTGTTTGGAAGCTGCAAATAGTTCAATGCGCAGCAGCCATGTTGTTAACTGGGGTGTCGCACAGGGAGCATACAACCCCTCTGTTGTGGCAAATTCATTGGCTGCCTATTAGCTACCGAGCACGATTCAGAGTACTGGCTTTAGCCTATAAAGCCCTAAATGGCTCCGGTCCAACTTACCTGTCCGAACGTATCTCCGTCTATGAACCTGAACCAGTTAGTAGATTAAGATCTTTCACACGAGAAGCAACTTGCTGTTTCTCAAGTCACTCCTGACATGAAAAAAATCCATGGTTCTAGGTTTTTGGTGTTTTGATACATGGGCAAGAAAGAAAGGGAACTGACAGGCTCTGTGGCCCGTGGAGCTCCAAAGTAAATTCCGGCTCCCTTCTTCTGGATTCATGGCTGGAAGCAGTGCTTCTGCTGGAAAAACCAGCCATAGGTCAGGAGGATTTCCCACAGCAGTTGCAAAGGGAGTCTGTTTATTTGCCCATGAAAACCTGGTCTAGAAGAACCAATACAACCAAGCATCCATCTTTCTAATACCCTCGTTCTAGTTGCCTGTTATCATGACTAACCATTGTTTTCTCTTTTAAATGTACCCCACAGTGAAGACAGTCTCACTGATTCAAAATCTAATCTTCTCTGCAGAGAAATGCATTCTGGTAGAAAACACATCTCAGAAACGTATTGAGGAAGGAGAAGTTCTTGGAATTGATTGTTTTCAGCATACCGACTCTAGCACCTACTGGTACAGAAATGGAAGCAAAACTCCTATAACTAAACAAAATTCATCAAGAATTCATCAGCAAGATACTGCGCTGTGGTTTCTGCCTGTGACATATCATGATTCTGGATCATATGAATGCATTACACAGTGAGAGCTTGTATTTATCTGTGGTACTTTTTGGCTGGATACAGTTTGTGTGGAATGAATAATTTTTAGTCAACCATTAGGTATTTGAATCATGTTATATGTCGTACGTCAGTCATTCTTGAACCATGGCTTATGGAAGTATTTTGCAGATAAGCTGTGTACAAAGACTTTAGGCTATAATTGAATGCTTATCTTTTGATATGTTTGTATGGGTGCATCTACACTGTAGAAGTAATGCAGTTTGACACCACTGTAACTGCTATAACCCAATGTGCTGGAATTATGGGAGTTGTAGTTTACAATGTCTTTAGCCTTCTCTATCAAGGAGTGCTGGTGCCTCCCCAAAATATGCCTCTTGGGCTTCTATAGGATTGTGCCAAGGCTGTTAAAATGGTATCAAATCATATTATTATACAGTATAGATGCACCCTATAATAATTTGCATTGTGAACATCCTTAATGTTGAAAAAAGAAAGAAAGCGGGGATTACAGTTAATGTAACAAAAATGCTTTTTTCCTGCTTAAATACAGGGATTCAACAAAATGTTACAAAAAGAATATCCAAATAGAAGTATTCAACCACAGTGGTTCCCTTTGCTTTAATGAGAATCACTTCTTCGAGCAAAGGATACCAGTCGCAACAAATGAGAAGATTGTGTGCAATTACAAGGATCATTTGTTAGGACAAGAGCCGGACGATTTGTCCATTGATTGGTTTAAGGTATTTCTTTCTTTCTGTAGCATAATTGTCAATACTACCTAACTAATGCTATAATGACATGGAATTCCCAATCCTTCATTTCCATTTTAAGACTAACTCAGTAGTGTTACTAAGTTAATCTTATTGGAAAGGGGGCAATTTATTTGTTCTCTGTTGAATGAATTTCTAGAAATTATCCTGGGACATTTTAAATAATGTATTTTTCTAGCTAGATTCTGAACAAGCCTTTCTAGGTTAAATAGACATAAAGGGAACTTAGCACTTCTAGGGCCTGATAAGTCTCTGCATGTTTCCACTGTATCAGATAAATCAGCCATGGGCAAACTTCAGCCCTCCAGTTGTTTTGGACTTCAACTGCCAGAAATCCCAGCCAGCTTACCAGCTATTAGAAATTGTGGGAGTTGAAGTCCAGAACACCTGGAGGGCTGAAGTTTGCCCATGCCTGGCCTAAATGCTGGGCTGAAATAATGCCTCATCTCGGATAGCACTGGCTTATTAGAAGCAACGTAATGGATTTATCGCTGATGAACTCCTAAGTAGAATGCCAATAAATGTTAGTTTATGAATTTATGATATAGCTAAAGTGACACAGAGAAGCAAACATACAAAAGGTGGACATAATAAAAAAAAACTGTAGGAAATTTCAGGTAGCTTTGCTGCTCCCAAAGCTACCTGAAACTACTTTCCCCCCATATTTTCGGGCAACAATCAGATGTGATGTGTGTCCCCCGTAATGATAAATTGGAATGAGGCATTATTCTCTGTATCAAAGAAAGAGAATTTGTCAAGTTTTCAAAGAAGTAGCCATGTTAGGACCTTATCAGATGTAGTCTTCTCTGTGTCTTCTCCCAGTTTCTCCATGTTGCTGAAACGGAGTCCCACAGAGCCCATCACATGACGCAGGATAACTTCTGGTGGGACTCTGTTTCAGCAGCATGGAGAAATGGAGCCCAGAGCGCCTTTGGAGGAGTTGGTTGTTACCTGACTCTTCATGCATTGTTTCACACGAAGAGGAAGCGGGGAAAGGACGGGAAACAACATGGGATGGGAGGCCATCCCAGAAGTCAAGGAAAGACAGTAGGCAATGAAGGAGGACGTTTCCCTCCTCTTTCTCCCACTTTTCCCCAGCCTGTCTGATGAGATCATTAGTATTTTACAATATATAAAGGAAGCAGAGCTGTGAAAATAAGTAATGTAACATAAATTTATTGGGTTTTATGTAAGTTCTGAACTTGGAAGGAAAAAAAAAACTTCTTGAAGCTAGAAGATGTTTATGCCATCAGAATGTAACTCCATTTAATCCATTGTTGTCTATTTGAATTGACATTTACTCTCCAGAATTTCAGGGAACAGTCTTTTCTATTTTTGATTCTTTTCAATAGACATGCCAGGAACGGAATATGGGAGCATCTGTATGCAAAACATATTCATTGAACTGTGTGTTTGTGGCTTCAGGTTGCCTACAGCACCTTGTATTCATTGGCTGTCTGAAATATATTGGTAGGTGCCAAAGGCAATATTTCAAAAGAAGCAACTGGCAGAACTACCTCTGAGTATTTTTAGCCTTATGAAAATCCCGGGGTCACCATAAGTTGATAGGTAGCCGGAAGGAACATGCACAAAGGTCAGTTGCGCAGAATGTGCTTTGCTTATAGAGGCTCTAAGGTTCAGATACTGGCATATCTACTTAAAAGGATCCAGAGTGGAAAACCCATTTTCTAAAATTCTGGAGAGCAATACCAATTACTATGGATTCTTTTACTAACAGAGTTTAGCTGCAATGGGAAATCATGCTTTCTGAAGTAACAGAAGTGACAGGTAATGAACTATAATTAAAATGACAAGTGAAGGGGGAAAGTCAGAAGTTTACTGTAAAGCAGTGGTTCTCAGTCTGTGGGTCCTCAGGTGTTTCGGCCTACAACTCCCAGAAATCCCAGCCAGTTTACCAGCTGTTAGGATTTCTGGGAGTTGAAGGCCAAAACATCTGGGGACCCACAGGTTGAGAACCACTGCTTATAAAGTAAGAATCTGATGGCTTGATATCACAAAACATAGTTTAAACAAGCTGCACTGCAGATGGTGTGAGAGGGGTAGACATTCCATAGTTTGGCCCAGGGGTCCCCAAATGAAAGCCTGTGGGCCAGATGCAACCTCCAAGATAATTTACTTGCCCCCACCCTAAACTTTTGACTTAGAGAGACCCTAAGTCAGAAAAAAGGCATACAACAATAATTCTAATTATCATAAGCAAGAAACAGGCCCATACTTCTCACTGAAATACTTGTAAGTTTGTGTTGTTTAATAATTGTTCTTCATTTTAAATATTGTATTGGTTTTTTTCCAAGGGTTTTCTTCTTTTTTGCACTACAAGTAAGATATATGCAATGTGCATAGGAACTTGTTCATGTTTTTTTTCAAGCTGTAGTCTGGCCTACAACAGTCTGAGGAACTGTGAACCGAACATCTGCTTTAAAAGTTTCAGGATCCTTGGTCTGGACATTGTGAATAATTGAAATCTGAAATCAGACGCTTGTGCCCTGGTACTAAAAAATAGAAGAGAAGAACTGGGTTGTTGTAGGGTTTTTTTCCGGGCTATATGACCATGTTCTAGAGGCATTTCTCCTGATGTTTCACCTGCATCTATGGCAAGCATCCTCACTACCTCTGATGCAGGCGAAACATCAGGAGAAATGCCTCTAGAACATGGCCATATAGCCTGAAAAAAACCTACAACAACCCAGTGATTCCGGCCATGAAAGCCTTCGACAATACAGAAAAGAAGAAGATTGTAAACATTATAGGAAACCCAAAGTCATTTTGTATGTCTACACAAGTGAAAAATATAAGTATAACCTCTGTTATGTACGTGGAGTGCTTTTTCTAAACAATATACAACAATTGCACTCCACTGACACATTAAAAGTAGACGAATAGCATGTGAATATGCATTGCTTCTATGCAAAGCTTTTGCACCTTGTGGATTGCAATTACACTGTAGATTGTTAACTAGGTACACATAAAGTGCATTTGGCAGTATTCAGTACAGAGGTTGCACAGCATAATTCCATATTTATTTATTTATTTATTATTTGCACTTGTTAACCGCCACTCTCAGCCCGAAGGCGACTCGTGGCGGTGTACAGAACATAGAACATAAAGACAACAGTTACAATAAATCAAGACCATAACACACATCTTACTAACACAACTAATTAAACTAAAAATCCGCTCGTCATGTTTGGGTCATAATCGGTCTCGTAGCCATAGTCCATTCCGGTGGTCATTCCAAAAATATAGTACTTAGTTGAAGGCCTTTTCAAAGAGCCAGG